TTTTTTACTTATAAATTTTCAATTCTCATAATCTTTAGATATGCAACAATATCAAGAAAAATATTCTAAAAATAATTAATTATTTTAATAAGATATAAAAGTTACCCTGTATGAATCAAATATGTATTATATATCTAAGGTAATATTAAGAAAGATAATTTACGTATCATGGGAAAATGATTCAGTATTTGGATCGTTATTATATATTATATTATTAACCATAACAAAAAATGTTCGTTACGTTTTTGTTCATTTTTTTGCCAAATTTGCAGATTCTTAGTTCGCTACAGATATGTTTACATTACAGTGAAGCGATAAGCGGACCGTTTGAGCACATATTTCGGGTTCGATAGCCATTCGATATCAGACAATAACTGGTAATAGTTCATTATTATAGAAATAACAGCTACTATAAAAATATTAGATCAATACATTTGAATCTTCAGAATTTTAAAAAATAATTATAATTGTAATTCCTAGTGTTCAGTGTATATTGGTTCCTAGAATTGCAAGCCGATAGGTAAGTTTTTAAGTTATAAACTAATAAAATATTTAAAAAGAAGACAGTTCTACTAGTATACAAATATTATGTTCTATTTCAATATTCTGAGCTATACCTACAGCTTTTTTTAAAACTAACCAAAAAAATTAATATCATAATACGAATTTTATTAGAAAAATAAATCATTAGCAGATAATTTTTATGAATCATAAATTAAATTAGCTTGCTCTATAACATAGTTTGATAAATATATATACTGTTTTGATATACAGGATGAGCAAAAAAAATTTAATTGTCAAAAAATTGAAAAATTAAATTTCACTAACGGAAAGAAGTTTTTCTAGCTATTTCTAAAATTAAATGTATGAAAAAAACAAAAATCTTTTTTTTTATTAACCAGCTGAATTAAAAAGTCGATACGTAAATCAACATCAGAGAAAGAGAGAACATCAAACCAGTACCAAAGTGTGAGCAGATGGCTAGCATTTCCATTACACGAGGACAGTAAAGTAAGTTATTTTTTTATCATAAAATTAATTTTCATAAAAGTTTTTCTTAAAATTTCAAAAATCTAGTTAAGTTCAAATGTTCAAAAATATAATATTATAAAACCAGAACAACAAGGAAACCATAAAATAACATTTTTTAAAAGGGAATTGAAGCTACATAAAAATGATGTTTGACATTAAAGGAAAAAGCTAATGTTCAGTAGAGTTATATAGAAATAATTAAAGTCTTTCTTATTATAGATTCATGAGTTATAAATTTTTTAAACGCCCTGTATATCAAACTGACTCAGTTTTTCTATCAGTACTCCGTAAATAAACTTTATTATTTGCTGGTCAAGCCTATCTAATTGAAATTGTATTTTATAAAACCAATAGATAAATTACATTTTAATAGTACTAAGATACGTAAGAATGTATAAACAAAAATGTTTTTTTTTTATTAAACAGCGGGTTTGAAAAAATCTCTACGTAAATCGACATCAGCGTAAGAGTGAGAAAACATCAAACCAGTACCAAAGAGTGAGATGGCTAGAATTTTTCATTACATGAGGACAGTAAAGTAAGTTATTTTTTTATCATTCAATTAATTTTCATAAAAATTTTTCTTAAAAGTTCAAAATAGGTATATTATTATATATATTTTCTAGAAATCTACCCAGAAACCACTTTATTGATGTAAAATGGGACAGGATACTACAAAGAAATGGCTTTTACGATTTT